GTCTGGGATTAAGTCGGCGTCCGTGGTTACGTAATGCCTGGGCCTTTCTCGCAGTCATTCTCTGCTTGGAAGTTGGGAAACAGCCCCTTGACACGGTTTTTTGGCTTTTGTTTTTTAATTGCAAAGCCTAAGTATGAGTAAAAGGTGAATAGGTTTTCCTTAAGGTTTTCGTCTGACTCGGTAACTTTTGACTTTTGCCCACCAAGATAAAGTAGCTTCCTGTGATTTTAACAGGCTTTGGGAGGAAAGTAAATGTTTTGTCTGTGTCATTGGAGGGAATACAGTGGTCACGTGACACACCAGAGTTCTTTCAATTTCCTTTTCAGTAAACAGGCTGAGCTCTTTCCCGGAGATATTCTCGGTGCCTGTGGGTAAAAGGACATTCTACATGAAGCGCAAATGTTCTTAGTAGATTACAGGTTATTAAAATGGGTATAGTCTTAAATGAGAAGACTGTTAGTGCCTCGGAAGGAAGATGCATTTTACAGTGACTGCATGAAATGAAAGACGTTGCTGCAGTGACGAATGCTAATTCTGTTCGAAAATCAAGCTGTTGAGGCCAAGAGAAGCTCAAATTTTGACATATTTTTATGTTATCTTTTAAGAGAGAAGACAGATTTATTTTTGTAATGTTTGGAAGCAAAAGAATCTATTTTTAAAAGAGTGGCACTTAGAAATTAGGGGAAAATGAAGAAACCTTGCAGACATAAACATTTCTCCTTGTACTTCGTATAACTGAGCAATGAAGTGAGAGTTAAAACATTTTTCCCTCCGAGTGGAAACTTTGTTCTCATCTTCCCAAATGTGGGAAGGTAATGGGTAATAGGACGATGTGATTGTGGGTATGAAAAACATTTCTAGAAACCAAAAAAGAAGTGTGAAGTTACGGAGAGGGGTGTTTGTTACATTAAATATACAACCCTGAGAGGCGGGGCCACCCCCACGCGGGATCTTGGGTTTCAGGCAGAGTGACGTGCGGCCGACGGCCCCCCTGGGCTCAGTGTTTTATGCTTGTCGTGCATTTTCCATGTGGAGTCAGGATTCCACCAGGTGAACGCGAATGGCTGACTCACGGCTTTCTAAACCACCGCTGGTTCCCTCTTACCTCGAGGGGTGTCTCACTGGTCCACCCTCAGGAGAAAGCACAAGGGGATACGGAGACACGAGACAGCAGGCTGTGTAGCTGGATTACTACAGAGAAGGAGTTGCCCCCAAATCAGCAGTGTCTTCTCACCCCTTGGGGGGTTTGCAGGCTGGTATTTCCCCAGCCTTAACGCTGCTTCACTTGGGCAGGTAGGAGAAGATAAGAGCAGGGTGGTGACTCAGGATTTACTAGCTGCTCTGGGGCACTTGTGCATGGACAGGTCAGGCAGGTCCCCACTGTGTAAACGGGAGAAGGAGATACTGAGAGTCACGCGTTAATCTTCCAGGTATTCAAAAGAATATCTGCTGTCGCACTGCTCACCTGAACTGCCAATCGTTGAGGGTTTCATGTGGCCACCTTTTAGCATTTCCCGTGGTTGTGTCTTGGACCTACCTGGACGAGTGTTTGAACTGTCTCACTATCTTTTTGCTCCTGAGCCGATGGCCCTCTGGGATGAGTGATGTGAAACTGGATGAGGTCGTTTGCATAAAGGGAGGCCAGATGACACATCCCATGTAGCTGTAAAAAGAGAGGATGGAGGCACTTAGGAGCCCAAGTCCACTGTGACTTCCGGAGCCCGGTACAAGCTGTGAATAGGTTGTGGCATTAAGAAAAAACACCTTTACCCTGGCCAGTGTCGCACGGTCGGTTGGAGCTTTGTCCCATGGACTGGGAATGGTCACAGGTTCGATTCCTGGTCAGGGCACAGACCCTGTTGCGGTTTGGTCCCCAGTTGGGGTGCATATGGAAAGGCAACCAATCAATGTTTCTCTCTCACATCGATGTTCCTCTCTTTCCCTTCCTTTCTCCCTAAAAACAATGAAAAAAAATGTCCTCAGAAGAGGATGAAAAAGGAAAATAGCCCACCTTCAGCCCTGATGGTGGGGGTTGGGAGTGACTCTTGATTCTGTGTCCCGAGTTCTTTGAAAACAGGAATACCCCCACTTGGATCACATCACCGCAGTTGGTGAAGACGGGCCACAGGGATGCTGTGCTAACCGCAGTTGTCAGTGTTCGATTTGGAACCGCAGTGTGATGCTTACACGTGGAAGTGGTGACATTCAAGGATGAATCCTAAGTAGGCGGACCTAAAGTAGACATATTATCTGATAGATGCAGTGTTCGTTCCCCATATTTTGCAGATTAAATGTGCAACTTCATTTTAAAGAGAAAACCCTGCCCTGACTGGTGTAGCTCAGTGGACTGAGTGCCAGCCTGCGAACCAAAGGGTTGCCAGTTCTGTTCCCAGTCAGGGCACATGCCTGGTTGTGGGCCAGGTCCCCAGGAGGGGGTGCTCAAGAGGCAACCAACCACACACTGATGTTTCTCTCCGTCTCTTTCTCCTTCCCTTCCCCTCTCTCTAAAAATAAATAAAATCCATTAAAAATCCTCACAAACTTCTACTCTTGTACAGTATTTTTACATCGACATGAGCTTAGAAGTGTTGTCTAGTTTTCTCCGCTCCTTTTGTCTCAGCTGTGGTTCGATGCTGGGGATACATTCTTCTCTCTGGTTGCAGGCACCCGTCTGAGAGAAGACTGGCTATGGGGCTTTTCTCTAAGGGAAGTAAACCGTTTAGAGAAAAGCTCGTGGGCTTCTTTAGATCTGTGTTAACAGATATGTTAACGGGAGGCGATGTTTTTCCCCTCTAGCTCCTGTTGAACTGTGTTTATTTCACCTTCCACAGTAGTTAGGCCCCACGGAATTCTTAGAAGTGTCTGGCCATGCCCCAGGGTGAATGTGCCGAAGGTGTCCCAGCAGCTGCCAACGGATTTGTGGTTTGAGTTCTCATTGGTACGTGGTCACCCCAGTGACAGTTCAGCCTGGACCTGGGTACTTTCCTTAGGAATGTGTGACCTTTGACAGATCTTACAAGAAAATAAATTAGTAAATCCATCAGCAAAGTGTGGAAGACCACTTCTTAGTGATTTAAAGCAGATTTAAAGAAGGAATAATAACAGGAAACTCGAAGGAGAAAGAGGTTAAGAATATGTGTCTGCAAACCAGTTAGGCTAATTTTTCCATTGAAAGTTGCCAAAAATCAGCTGTAATCCTCTCTACCTCCCTTCTGACACGGAGTGTTGCCTCTTGTTCTTCCCTTTCCTGTTTTCATCCTCTCTCTTCTCTTTCCTTCTCTTCCCATCTGCTTGCTCGCCTCCCTCCCTGTAGTAAGCAAGGAAGGAACTGACCCAAAGAGATTCCCTTACTCCCTGGGGTCTCAGAGCTGGCTCTGGCCCGTCCCTCTGTTAGAAGCCCAGCATTCCGGCCCCTGACTCATGGCCTGGTAGTTATGTGGCGTCGACAGTGTGAAGGTGAGTGCTGACAGGCAGGTAGGGAAGAGGAGACGAGCACACACACTGCAGTGCCTCCCAGGGTCTAACGGGAGCATAAGACGGTGCGCTCTGGGGACTCAGGGAGGACAGACTTCACTCCCACAGTGGAAGTTTGATCTGCACCCCCCGATCACACATCCTCTGCAGGTGGGGTCAAGGGCACCCTTTCAAGGCCCCCAGCATTTCCTGTATTTATATATCCTTTGTCTTTAATAGTGACTGTCCATTTTTCTAAAATGGTCCTAATGTCCAAGACTTTGTGGGCATGAACGTTCTCCATCTATATCTAGCTCGGGTGAAACAGGGGCCTTCCATCTCCCGGGCTCTGCCGTGCTGCGGCCCAGGTGGTTGCACACCGAGATTAATGTTATGGCGGGGTCTTGCTCCGCTGCCACAGCCACTTGTCTAGCTGTGTTGCATGTGTGGTAATCAGGAAACAGCTCTGTGTCACCTTGACCACTAAAACTGCTGAACTGGGATGGGGGTGGGTGGGACAGGGAAGGCATGTTACGCTGTCTGCCAGGATGGCGTTTCCCCCCTAACATAATAGAGACCATTAGGGGGGAGGGGTGTGCAGGGTGGAGGGGAACGGAGGGGGGGAAATAGAATAAATGTAATGGCATAATCAATTAAAAAAAAAATTCACCGAGGCTAAACGCAGCCTCTCACAATGAAAAAAAAAATAGAGACAATTAGGATTAAATAAAAACTGATGGAATCAGCTGCTTAGGGAATTTTAGAATAAATCCCAAGTGGAACTTAATAGTAGCTGTGCCATGATGGGTTGGGATGCTTATTTCCTCTATGGGTAAATGGTTACCTGTAATTGTTTTATTTTTTTAATATTTTATTTATTTTAGAGAGGGAAAAGGAGGGAGGAAGAGAGAGAAACATTGGTGTGTGGTTGCCTCTCATGCGCCCCCTACTGGGGACCTGGCTCGAGAACTAGGCATGTGCCCTGATTGGGAATTGAACTGGTGACCCTTTGACTCTCAGGCCAGCACTCAACCACTGAGCCACACTAGCCAAGGCTGTGATTGGTTGTGTGTGTGTGTGTGTGTTTTAACTATTTCTTTTGATGTCCTGAATCTGCTGGTGACTATCATACTGATAATTTTGCCAATGGAAATAAATGCTGTCACGATCAAAATGTGTTTGGAAGTAGCTTTTTGCGAAAACAGTGTGATGAATCCAGTCACAAACGACAAAGTTTCTAGATGTCACACCAAAACCTGCCTTTCTTAAGCTAACAGCTTTGCTCATTACCATTCTCATCAGAGAGGTGCCACGCAGATCATGCTGTGTATGGCACTTTGAAGCTATAGTTACCAAGGTCTTATGTATATATTTCTGGATGTTTGCTCACTTCTATTCAGAATTCCATAGTTACAATAGTTGTGCAGTTCATTGACTTGCTGCTCTTGGTAATCATCACTGCATTAGTGCAAATCGTTAAGAGGGATATTTATCCTATCATTACAAAGTGCCACTTGCTGATGCGATTATTTCTGTTTGTTTAACAGGCTATCTGAACAAGTTCATGACCATGGGGGATATGAAGACCCCAGACTTCGACGACCTCCTGGCCGCATTTGACATCCCAGACATGGTCGACCCGAAAGCCGCGATCGAATCGGGACATGACGACCAGGAGAGCCACGTCAAGCCCAACGCGCACGGGGACGAGGACTCGCACACGCCCTCGTCCTCCGACGTGGGCGTCAGCGTCATTGTGAAGAACGTTCGCAACATCGACTCCTCCGAGGGGGCCGAGAAGGAGGGCCACAACCCCACCGGCAACGGCTTGCATAACGGGTTCCTCGCGGCGTCCTCTCTCGACAGTTACGGTAAAGATGGATCGAAGTCCTTGAAAGGAGACCCGCCTGCCTCAGAGGTGACTTTAAAAGACTCGGCTTTCAGCCAGTTCAGCCCCATCTCAAGTGCTGAGGAGTTTGACGATGACGAGAAGATCGAGGTGGACGACCCCCCTGACAAAGAGGAAGTGCGTTCCGGTTTCAGGTCGAACGTGTTGACGGGGTCTGTTCCCCAGCAACAGGACTATGATAAAATGAAGGCGCTCGGAGGGGAAAACTTAAGCAAAACTGGAATCTCGGTTTCAGGCAATGTAGATAAAAACAAAGTCGTCAAGAGAGAAACAGAAACAAATTCTATAAATCTGAGTGTTTATGAACCTTTCAAAGTCAGAAAAGTGGAGGATAAATTGAAGGAAAACTCTGAAAAGGTGCTTGAAAATAGGGTCCATGACGGGAAACTGGGCTCCGAGAAGAATGACCTCTCCCTTGGAGGCCTGGCCCCGTCAAGGTCAAAGCCATCCTCCAAGCTTTCTTCCTGTATAGCTGCCATCGCAGCTCTTAGTGCTAAAAAGGCTGCTTCCGACTCCTGTAAAGAACCAGTGACCAATGCAGGGGATTCCTCTCCATTACCAAAAGAAGTAAATGATAGTCCTAGAGCCATTGAGAAGTCTCCTGAGTCCCAGAGTCTCATCGATGGGACAAAGAAGGTGTCCCTGAAGCAGCCAGATAGCCCCAGGAGCATTTCAAGTGAAAACAGTAGCAAGGGATCTCCATCGTCCCCTGCAGGATCGACACCAGCAATTCCCAAAGTCCGCATCAAAACTATTAAAACATCATCTGGGGAAATAAAGAGAACAGTGACAAGGGTCTTGCCAGAAGTCGATCTTGACTCTGGAAAAAAGCCTTCAGAGCAGACGGGGCCCATGGTGGCATCAGTGACATCACTTCTGTCATCTCCCACTTCCGCTGCTGTTCTTTCCTCTCCCCCCAGAGCACCTCTGCAGTCTGCCATGGTCACCAACGCAGTTGCCCCTGCAGAGCTGACCCCCAAACAGGTCACTATTAAGCCTGTGGCAACTGCCTTCCTCCCAGTGTCTGCTGTGAAGACGGCGGGCTCTCAAGTCATCAATTTGAAGCTCGCTAACAACACGACGGTCAAAGCCACGGTCATATCTGCTGCGTCTGTTCAGAGCGCCAGCAGCGCCATCATTAAAGCTGCCAACGCCATCCAGCAGCAAACCGTCGTGGTGCCGGCATCCAGCCTGGCCAATGCCAAACTCGTGCCAAAGACTGTGCACCTCGCCAACCTTAACCTTCTGCCTCAGGGCGCCCAGGCCACCTCTGAGCTCCGCCAAGTGCTCACCAAACCTCAGCAGCAAATCAAGCAGGCAATAATCAATGCAGCAGCCTCGCAGCCACCCAAAAAGGTGTCTCGAGTCCAGGTGGTGTCCTCCCTGCAGAGCTCTGTGGTGGAAGCTTTCAACAAGGTGCTGAGCAGTGTCAACCCCGTCCCAGTTTACATCCCCAACCTCAGTCCCCCTGCTAATGCAGGCATCACGTTACCGACCCGCGGGTACAAGTGCTTGGAGTGTGGCGACTCCTTTGCTCTTGAAAAGAGTCTGACTCAACACTACGACCGACGCAGCGTGCGCATCGAAGTGACGTGTAACCACTGTACAAAGAACCTCGTTTTTTACAACAAGTGCAGCCTCCTTTCCCATGCACGCGGGCACAAGGAGAAGGGGGTGGTGATGCAGTGCTCCCACCTGATCTTAAAGCCCGTCCCCGCAGATCAGATGATCGTTTCTCCGTCCAGCAATACTTCGGCTTCATCTTCCGCGCTGCCGGGCTCCGTGGGGGCCGGCACACACACTGTCACCAAAATTCAGTCTGGTATAACTGGGACCGTCATATCCGCTCCTTCCAGCACACCCATCATTCCAGCTATGCCTCTGGACGAAGACCCATCCAAGCTCTGCAGGCATAGTCTGAAATGTTTGGAGTGCAACGAAGTTTTCCAGGACGAGACGTCGCTGGCCACGCATTTCCAGCAGGCTGCAGATACGAGTGGACAAGTAGAGTATCATTTACATTTTGGTGTTTCGGTGATGAATCTGTAGACATGAGTGCTGTATGCCATGCCCTCGCTTTTACGGGTGGGAGCTCAGTTACCCGGAAGGGGGGGGCGGGGGTGTGTGTGTATGCGCGTAGACGAGGGAGGAAGGGTCGTTTCCGTAGGACAGATCAGTACGGAAATACGAATTTTACTAAGAATTTTGGGGGGTAGCTGCTTCTTCTAGATGGATAGGACCTCTACGTACTAGCTGAGTCACAGCACCTTAGACTTAGGGTAAGTCACGGACTTCTCAGCTGTTGGATCATTGGAATAGATACAAGGAGTCTGACATCCAGCCCATATCAGTATCGTCCCATTGACTTAAGCGTTCAAGTCGGGCTACGTATATAACCGATGTTCCTTAATTATTAGGGACAATTTTGGTATTTAAAAAAATTCCTGTTTTTATTTACAATTATTCTTCTTTTGCAGTTAAGCATACCTGACTCATACCCATTTTATGGTTTGCCTACTTGGTCCTGAATTCTATTGAGTAATACACTTTACTACAGTGAATTTCAGCTACAGGTGGAAAACCCACCTGCTTTAAATACGATACCTCTGCGCTTGTTTGCAGCCTTTTTGTTGTTACTGTTTCAGTGAAGCCTAGGTTGATATGGGTGAAATACATTTCGCAACAGGCACCAGTCAGCTTTTATCGCTATCACGGCCTTTCTTCACAAGGCCACTTTTCAGCTAAGAGATAAATGTGTTTTACAAATAACATGATACTCTGTCATCCAGAGTAGCTGGACATGTTGAATGAAACATATTTGAGCTTAGAGAGATCATATGATTTATGATCCAAACCAGAAAACATATGAACTTGGAAGGGGCCACTGGTTTGGGCTAATGTACTCAGTCAGACTCAAACTTCTGTTTGTGAAGACCGAGTGGTAAACCGATTCTTCTTTTATTTGACTCCAATATCCCCCTGATAGATCCCCAAGGGCAACGACTAAGTTCTTTGCAGGATTTTGACTTTGGGGAACAGAAGATTAAGCATAACTCAATAACTTTTTTTCTCTTGGGTTTTCAGTTTAGCGGAAATGGAAGCGATAAGGAGTTTAGAAAGCACTCTTACAGTATTGGATGTTCAATGTTTCATTGGCTTTGGATCATAAAATACTCAAAAAGATTCAAGTAGCCAACAAGTTCAAGAAGGCAGTGGTTATGTCGTCTTTCCAGCGTGTCCTTGGGACAGTGACTGGGCTCTGTATGGGTGTGCCCTCTTATCTTGTCCCCACTCCAGCAAAAGGGCAGTATTTCTTTCCATCTTCAAGGAAAACCACCCATGTCTTTAGTTCCATTTCTTTTGTTGCCTTGTTTCCCCACCCACTGGTGTTTTGTGTGGCCTGGCTTCCACAGGCTCTCCCACCCGGTCCTAGCTCCTGTGCGCTGGTCAGTATCTGGCATCTTGAGCTGCTCTGCATGGGATCCCTCCTGCTCTGGCAAGGAGGAAGGACATGGGCAGGAAGGTGGGAATTTTCCTTCTTCCCATACTACCCTAGTTTCGGGCTCTATTAACTGTTTAGGCTCAGTAGCCAAGCTAGGGTCAAACAGGGGCGAGTCTCTTTTCATCAGAGAAGGAGGTTAGCATCGTTTCCTGTGTGTGGTTGCTTCTTTGCCTTGACTTTTGCATTGTGCTGGGTCAAGGATATAGCGCAGCTCCCCTGTCTCACCTGGAATACCCAGCAGTGAGTCATGGCCAAGCATACAATAACTCTAGGGCCAAATAAGCATGAAGCCAGACATTCTTCCCCTATTCTGTTTCTCAGCTAAGCGTGAGAGAAGAGAATCTGTTTGGCAAGCTCCAGTGGCTGGTATCCAGGCATCACAGGGCTGGCAACATAAACGTGCCCCGTGGTACACTCTTCCTGTCCCCCCTTCTCTCACTGAGATCTACCCCAGAACACCTCCACAGTTTCCCGTTCTTTTCACACTCAGCCAGGGGGTTCTTGTGCAGACCCCGGCAGGCGGCCTGGCCTCTTACTCAGCAGCCCAGCCTGTGCCAGCTGTTTGTGGAAGGACTGTCCCTTGTCCAGCATGCTGAGTTACACTGACCCCACCTCTGATGCTTCCATAGTACAGGGGCTTGGCGGGAGCCTATGACTGTCGGCTGGACTAGTCTCCAAGGTAGCAAAGGTTGGGGCGGTCCTTGCCCACCCATGTCACCTGGTGTGGCATCAGGACTGATGGCGGTGGGAGGTGGGCTGGAGACAGGAAGAACAGTGGGAAGAAGAGAGAAAATTCTTTATCTTAGCTTCTCCGGTTTGCCATTCACAAGACCATTGGCTAGTTCACAGTCTGTGAACTTAAATTCAGCTGGGGGAAAGAATCCACTTATGTTTCTTCTCTGTGAACAGCACTTAAACACTCGATGTCTCCTTACTAAATTTAGAAGTTGAACCAATGGCACACCGGGTACCAGTCTTTCCTGAGCGCTTTTTTCCCCCTGTTGTTGATGATATTTGTGTATGTACAACTTCTGCTTCTCCTTCACCTTCACCTTCTCGGAAAGTCACTGGTTAACTGAGAAAGAGTGGAGCAGCTCTTCGAGGCTCACACCCGGCGGTCCTTCCTAGAACGGGGCCCCAGGGCCGTGGAAGCCCCACACCTGCAGCTCCCGCTTCTTGTCCAGCTTTCCCAGGACTCCCCGGGGCAGGGCTCCCCAGGCCTGCATAGCGGCCTCAGTTTGAGAACCATCCACATGGACTCCTGAACTGGTCCCACTGCCTCTGGTGATCCTGAAGGTTCAAGTGTGTGACCTCAGGGCCCTAGCAAGCCTGAGCTGGGCTTGCTTGTTGCCTTCCAGCTTTTGACTTGACTGGGACCAGAGGAAGGTGCGCTCCCTCCCTGACCGGCAGCAGGGGTGGCCCTCGCTCCCCTTCTGCTGCCCAGTGTGTCCCTGCAGTTACCCTGATGATTTTCAAGTCTCACCGGATAGTGCTGAAGGGTCCTGTGCTGATGTCTGGGACTTCCTTCTCAAGTCATGCCATTTTAAAATTAAACCTCTTCTTGGCCTTGGCTTTTCTCACTTGCATCATCCTCTGGTGGTTGCATGTGTCAACCTTCTTGCATGTATCAAAAGTTTTTCCTTTTTCTTGCTGAACAGTGATTCCATTCTGCGGTGGTGCCCGGGTTTGGTCTTTGAAGGACGGGTGGCTACACTGTTCCCAGTTTGGGGCTGTTAACGGGTCACGGTGCTCTAATACTTGTGTGCCGGCTTTCGCATGAATGCAGCAGGTTTTCGTTCCTCTGGGACAACTGCCCCAGTGCGCAATGGCTGGCTCGTCTGGTAATGCATATTTATATCTTTTAAAAACTCCCTTTTCCAGAGCGGTAGTCCTGTTTTCCATCCAATGAGCCGTTGTGTGGGTGGTCTGGTGTGTTTCTGTGTCTCCCGTCAGCGTTTGGTGGCCTTTTATGTTTCAGCTGTTCCAACAGGTGTAGAGAGAGAATGTGTTGTGGTTGTAGTTTGTGGTTCCCCAGTAGTTAATGATTTCGAACATCTTCCTGTGTGTTTTTATCTGCCATCTCCGTGTCCTTTTGGTGACATGTCTCTTCACGCCTTTTGCCCTTTTCGGATTAGGTTTTCCCCACCGCTGAGTTGTAAGTATTCTTGATGTAGTTTAGATACTAGTCCTTTGTTGGGCGTGTGGTTGGTTGTCAGTCTTTTTCCCCCCAAGACTTGGCTTGTTTTTTTTTTTTTTTTAACTTTTTAAAAGGTCTTTGGTAGCGCAAAAGTTTTTAATTTTGCTGGCATCCAGTTTTTCAATTTCTTCCTTTCGTAGCTTGTGCTTTTGTTCATCTCTTAAGAACTCTGTTCTAGATCCAGAGATTTTTCTCCTATGTTTTTTTCTCAAAGTTTTGTAATTTTTAAAAAAATTATTTATTGATTTTTGTGGGGTTGATGAGGGAGAGAGAGAGTATGTGAGAGAGGAAGAGACAGAGAAAGAGAAATATCAGTTTTATTTGTTGTTCCACTTACTGATGCGCTCATTGGTTACTTCCTGTATGTGCCCTGACTGGGGATTGAACTTGCAACCAAAGTGTATCAGGACAGTGCTCTAACCAATGGAGCTACCCAGCCAGGGCCGTAGTTTTCTGTTTTACTTTTAAGCCTATGACCCATTTGGGGTTCTAATTTTTGTGTAAGGAGTGAGACTTGGGTTGAGGTTTATTTATGTGGCTCATTTCTGCCCCTGCGTGTCCTCTTCCTTTAACGCTGTTTGTCCAGAAGGCCCTCTGTCCTCATGGAATTGCCTCTGCCCCTTTGGAAGGAGTCGCGTAAAGGACTTCTAGTTCATCTTCCTGGAAGAAGGAAAGTTCCACTCTGTTGTTCAAGTGTCTGAAAGTAGCTGTTTTCGAGGAGAGACTCCGATATTGTCGGGCTCTGCCTGAGGCCTCGGCACTCGATGCTCAGTAGTTTCTGGACCTCGGCATCCTGGGAAGGCAGCTCTCTTTCCCGAGTCAGAGACTCCTCCACTGCCAAGTGCAGGTCGCCCTTTCCTCGCCCCATCTGTGAAAAGACGAGGCCCAGCTCTCCTCCCCCATTTCATGATGGTGGGGTCCACCCCCTGGAGGCCTCGGCTTTTCTCTTGGGAACCACCTCTTGGTTCGATGCAGCCACCATCTTCCTTCATTTTCCACCTGCTTATATTCCGACTCCCGTTTATGGTGGGCCAGATTTTTCCGAGGTTTTTCCGAGGGTGCGTGTCTGAACCCAGCAGAGGGGTCTCTTCTGGTGACATCGCCTGTGGCTGTCCGTGCCAGGGCCCCTCTGCCTGCGTGGTCAGCCTCTTGAGCCGTGGCCAGTGTGGCATGGGATGAAGGCAGGCCTCGGTGGCTCTTGCTGAATTCTGCCTGGCCAGCCGCTCCTCCGCCCCCTGCAGAAGTTCTGTGGACAGTCTCTGAAAGTCATGATTGCTTTAGGAAGACCTGTCCCTGCAGCAGGGC